GAAATTTTTAAGTTATTTTTAATAGCCAAAAACTGGTTCATTTGCAGTGATTTTTGTGTCACTATAAATTAAAATTGTCAAGACCCTTATAATTACTATTTTTCTTAAAAAACTTTGGTTTTAGAACACAAGAATAAAATTTTACTTTACAAAATGTCGAATAGAAAACCAAAAACAAGGTGTTTTAGTATGGATAATAAATATAATGATATTTCTACGCCTACAACGGCAGACATGATAAAAAACGGCTCCCTGCTTGCACTGTCTGCAGGAAATGCTTTTAGCAATTATGCACCAGTAGTTGGAGCAATCTGTGGTTTATGTGAAATGATTATTAAACTTTACGATACTATTAAAGAAAACAAGGTAATTTCCAGAGCATTAATTAATAGAGTTGAATTGGCACATGTAGCCATTAAACAAATGGAAAGAGAAAAAGAAGCAAATGAAGAAAATTTCCGTAAAGAAAGTTATTTTAAAGCATTTAATAGGCTTGAAGCTGTTTTGAAAAATATTAAACATTTTATTAAACATATTTCAAGTTATGGAGGATTTAAAAAATTTTTTAATGCTGACCACATTAAAAAGTGCTATGATGATCAACCGAATATTCATATCGAATATTCGTTAATATAAAATTTTTTAACAATAAAATAAATTAAATAAAATTGGTAAATTAATTTTTCTAATCAGGATGCTATTTTTATTTTTTTTTGATGTTCTTTAAGGAGTTTTTCTCCGCAAGACTTGTCATTATTTGCTATGATGATATTACATGGCCATTCTAGATTTCTTTAAATATAGCAGCTCTTAAAAAAAAATTTTTTCTTACAATTACTATTCTTAAAAAACTTTTTTTTAGAACACAATGAATAAAAATTTAGTTCTCAAAATGCCAAATAATAGAAAAAGACATATTGATTATAAAGATAATATTTCACCTAATATAAATGATGGAAAGCCGAAAAAAAGATGTATTGATGATAAAGATGATAATATTACAACAATGGACACAATAAAAAATGTTTCCTTGCTTGTACTGTCCACAGGAGATGCCTTTACAAATTATGTACCAATACTTAAAACAATATGTGATTTATGTGAAACAATTATTAGGCTTTATGATACTATTAAAGAAAATAAGACAATTTCTATAGCATTAATTCATAGAGTTGAATTGGCACATGTAGCCATTAAACAAATGGAAAGAGAAAAAGAAGCAAATGAAGAAAATTTCCGTAAAGAAAGTTATTTTAAAGCATTTAATAGGCTTGAAGCTGTTTTGAAAAATATTAAACATTTTATTAAACATATTTCAAGTTATGGAGGATTTAAAAAATTTTTTAATGCTGACCACATTAAAAAGTGCTATGATGATCATGTTAAAAATTTGGAAGGAGCTTGTGCAGATTTACAATTCAATGTGATTCTTTCCAGTTATCATACAATGAAACAACAAGACAATAACATGGAGAAATATTTTGCTAAAATATACGAAAAATTTGAGGTATAAAGTAAATGATATCAATTTTTTTATTTTTTTATAAATGCATTTAAAAATATTTATATATATATATATCTAAATATTTTGTTTAGAATTTGGAAACAACAATGCAGAATAGTGAATTAGTTTTAATAAAAAACTTATCTAAATATGTGTCATCTGACAATTTGGAACTTAATCCTATAGTGAAATTGGCATAAATTGATCCCAGGAATATAGATGATGTAAAATTAAGTCACAGAAAGGATACAGATGTAAGAGGTGCAAATAAAAGGGTTGTTAAAAAAATACTTAGAAAAACAGTTGAGGTGGCATGTAAAACTATTCTACATTATCCAAAGGATGATGGTACCTCTGAATCAAAAAAATTTCAAGCAAAACTTGCAATACTAAATGCTATTCAATGTAAATATATCATTAAATTTTATGGTATCTCCAATGTAAATTCTCATAATGCTTTGATATTTGGCTGGGCTGAAAAGGGCAATTTAAAAGATTTGTACAATACTCATTACATTGACTGGGTTACAAAATTAAAAATTTCATATGATGTCATTAGAGGACTTTTATTTATGCATAATGGTGAAATTTTACATCACGATGTTAAATGTGAAAATATATTAGTAGGTTTTATATTTATTTTTGTAAAACATCATTAGCACACATTAACCAACATGTACTCTTTTTAGATTGATGAGGATGGAAATGCAAAAGTTTCAAATTTTGAACTTAGTCGTAATCTATCTGGTGAAACTTCAAGAATTTCAAATTTAAATGACTATATTCCTTGGTTGGCTCCTGAAAAGATAGAATCAGGAACTCAACTTTATAATCTTGATTGTGAAATGTTTAGGTAAACATGAATAGAAATGATTTTAAATAAAATTTCATTAACTAATTATTAATTTGTTCATTCATTCAGCTTTGGAATGTTTCTTTGGGAGCTTACTTATCAACAAATTCCATATAAAGAAATGAATGCAATTAGTATTGGTGAACATGTCAAAAGTGGTCAAAGAGAAACTATAAAAATTGGAGTGCACAATGTTGAAATTCAGCAAGTTTTAATTCAAATTATTAATAAAGGTAAATGATAACAAAAGTAATAATCATTACATCAATAAACATTTTAATAATTTATAATTATTGTTCATTGTTAGCCTGGGAACATTCACCCCATAATCGTCCATCTTTTGATGAAATAAAAAATGAATTGGCAGAATCATGGAAATGTTTTGAAAATACTAAATATGTAGCTAAATTTATTGCTAAAGATGAAGTTTCAAATGACAAAATTCAACATCATAACATTGATAAGGACTCAGATTTTAAAGTTGTTAAAAAAACTTTATTTGAATCTCCCATACCATTAGATGAAGGAGTGAAAGCTTATAAAGGAGGAAAATATCAAAGGGCATGGAAATGTTTTTGTGAAAATGCTGAACTTAATAATTATAATGCAATTTATTGGAAAGCATACTATTTACAACATGGTGAAGAAACAGGCAAAGCCAGTCAAGAAGACAAAGAAAAGGCAATTGAATTGTATAAAATTGCAGCTGACAATGGTATAGCCAAGGCTCAATATAATTATGCATCCCTCATTTACGAAAAAGATAAAGTAGCAAACCTTAAAGAATTTAAGAAATATTTACAATTGGCAGCTGAAAATGGATATGAGGTTGCTTTGCACTTCTTAGGTGTTTACTATTTTGAAGGAACCCATGGTTACGAAAAGGATCATGATCAAGCCATAGATTATCTTAAATGTGTAGCTTTTCAAAATCATAATGAACAATTTAGTCAGAATGCAACAAATATAATAAATCAAATAAATCAATCTAATCAAACAAATCAAACAAACCAAACAAATCAAATAAATCAAATAAACCAAACAAACCAAACAAACCAAACAAATTAAACAAATAAATAAATCATATAGACAAAAATGGAAGGTAGTTTTTTTTTCAAATATCAATATTATTTATTTAGTGTATGGATAAATTTTTTAAAATAAAAATATTACTATTGATTAGATAGGATATCTGGTGTTTTTTGTTATGGTGAATGATAATTATTGCTTTCTTTATTCATTCATTGTTTGATTTAAATGGTGTTTGCTTGCTTTATTTGTTTTAGCAATCTTCAACCATATCAATTAAGACTAATTCGTAAAATTGTAAAATTGCAACTACCTAAATTTATAAATTTTACTTATTAAAAGATATAAACACACGTTCAACACTAAAAAATGGTAAACATCATAAGGAAAGTCTCTATTGTGAAAACGGATTCTACATAAACGTTTATATTATAGATATTTATGCTACTCGTTTGTTTCAAAATGCAACTTTATCGTTTAATATTCATCTTCATCAAAATGTCTGATAACAAAAGTTCTATAATAATAACGGAAAATCCCCGATTACTATTATTAGTACTATTAATACTACTACTACTCACTACTAATACTAATACTAAGCCAAATGATCCGTTATAGAGAAAGCGAATGTAATTAATAATTCGAAAGCATTGAATTAAATTTCATGATTACCAAGCGCACAAAATTTTAATGTGAATAGCAGTTTGAATTGATTAAAAAACTATTATTCGAAAGACAAGCGTAGGTTGTGGGAATCACATTGTAGATGTTGTGGGGAAAATCCAATGTTACAGAATTGGATAAAACTCACTGTTATGAAGGTGAAAAAGACTTTCAATATTTTGATGCTAGCTTAGATTACTAGGTTATTTTAAGAAGTTGGATAACATTATGAAATTTCGACATTTTTATTTTGAGTAAAAAAAGTCCAAGAAATTGGTAATGAACGCTTTCATGAATTTAAGCTACTGGTAAATTTTATAATGCATCTATTGTATGACATACAGTAATTTCGGAAGACATACAATAAATAGGGTTACTTTTCATAGTAACATATTTTTATAAAATAAAGAAACCAAACACAATTTTATCTTAATAAACATCCTGTTAATATACGCACAAAGTACCGAAAGATAGTACCCAACGACACTGCCTTTTAATAATTTTTTATTCTCAATTTATATATTAGGCGTACAAAATCATTATAAGTCACGCGGCACCATCTTTCGAAACTTTACAACAATGTTTTATTTAAAATTTAACATCCTAAATTAACCAATTAATGGATTAATACGAAGAAATAAATAAATATCATACACAAATAAGAAATAAAGAAATTATTATTATTGTGTATATATATAAATAAGGTAAAAATTAAAGGGGGTGTGAATTTACAAGGAGTTTTGATGATTAATTCAAGTAAATTAATTGGATAAAAGTGATTAGATGATAATTAACGGGATAAATTGAAAAAGAATGTGAATATAGAATCTATAGTAAAGATTCTAAATGATGCATGTGAATGCACGAGTTTGCGAATGTGGAATAAATCATAATCTAATCGCAAAGATAATGGTAAAAATGATGGCGAAATGAAAAAAGTAAAGTGGATGGGCAACAAAACAAAAGAAAAAAATAAATTGTCCATTACATCCAAAATTAAAAAAAAATTTGAATGTATATATTAAAAAGTAAATTGTCCAAAATTGTCTCTATAATAAAAAAAAAATATACAAATTTCCAAGAAAAATAAAGAAAAGTTTTTTCAGAATGTTTTTTCATTCTTACTAAAACCATAACACAACTATCGTCCTAATAATAATATTATTATTATCAACAAAAAACCCACCCAAATAAAATAAAATAAAAAATACAAGGGGAAATTACAATCATTAATTAATCCTTCCTTTTTTCTCTCTCTCATATACATTCTCTCCAAACAAGTGTCATTTTTTTCTAATTTTGTTACGAAAAATTTTTTTTTTGCTCTATTGATTTAATTCTAACATCTTATATTCTTCATAATTATGTTTCTAAATATTTTTTTAATGAATAAATCCAATATCTATCTTCATTAATCTATATGTCATTATGTCATTATTTGTCTATTATAAATTATCTACTGCTTTCAACAATCATCGACATTCTTTTATTAACTTGTCTTTTTAACATCGATGATGGTTCGTTAGAGAAACTAGAAACATTGCCATTTACTATGCTTTTTGGTCTTGGCCTAACCGGTGCAGAATTAGTACGCCTAGTTATAGGTGTTGGTAAAGATGAAGAATTTGAAGGAGTAGTGGAAGCAGAAGACAAAGGCTTTTTTGATGATGATAATACTATTGATGGAGAAGGAGGAATGCTACTTTTTGTAGATTTAGTAGATGGATTATTTTTATTACCATTGTTTTTATTGTTGCCATTTATTTCAATTTTTAATTTTGTTTTTGTAGCAGACGGTGATGATGATGAATTAGGAGGCGATGGTGATGATGATGAAGGTACACTTAATAAACCATTAACAATATAAGGAGATGATGATGGTTCTAACATAGTTGGAGTTGCAACTGAAGATATCGATGATGACGATTCACTAGATGTACTAGAAATACTATTACTACGTTTAGTATTATTAGAATCATCACCATCATTATTATTACCATTATTTTCTAAAAAGAGTGAATTGTTTTGGTCAGTTGATGATGGTGATGATGACAATATATTGTTGTTGCTGTTGTTGTTGTTGTTGTTGTTATTATTATTAGAGAATGAAGAAGATCGTGGAGATCTGGGAGACTTTGACGAAGCTTTGTTACTCGAGTTGAGATGCGATAATGGATCAATGGAATTTTTAACAAATAAACTATTACGCTTTTTCGTTGATGACGAGGGAGATGTTTCTGAATTACTCCTATGATTAGGTCTAACGGGTGATACGTTTCGTGAAATGTTAGAATTAGAACGTACAGGCGAAACAGCTCTGCTTGGTGCCCGACTTGGTGTCCTACTTGGTGCTCTACTTGGTGCTCTACTTGGCGCTCTACTTGGTGCTCTACTATTGCCACCCATCATGGCTTGAGTAATTGCTTGACTAATAGCTTGACTATTTCTTCTTGATTTAGTTCCATTATTGTTAAGACCTGTGGGTGATACAGATCTACTAGGGATATATTGGCTGTTTCTACGTGATTGTGGAGATCTTCCATTACTATTACCATTTGAAGGTGAAACTGAACGACTAGCTGATGGAGCTTTAGCAAATAATCTGCTATTTCTTTTATTTTCGTTGGTAGGTGAAGATGGTCTGCTTGGCATTGCCTTTTGGCTATCTTTACGTTTTGAAGCATTTTTTGATTTATTGCTGTTTTCATCATCATTATTGTTAGCGTTTTTTGTATTTTTAGAGCCAAATTGTTCAAAACCGAAGAACATTTGATTTACAATACGCTCAGAAATTTCAGATTGCTATAAAATTGAATTATGGGAAGATGGAATGAATAAAAAAAAAAAAAAAAAACAAAAATACATAATTACTAAATTTTCTTTAAATAAAAATTCCGATATTCTTTTATTTACCAAAGTGTCCAAGTAACGTTTGCTTTCATGCATAAAAGGTTTACGTTCAGATTCTTCATAAGCAACACAAGCATTGATTAGTTGATCTTCAATCTTAACCAAATTGGGCCAACATGTTTTTCTCCATTTTTCTTCTTCCAATAATCGAAATGAACTTTGGAATAGACGACGTGGGTCAGAAGCCTTTTTCTCAAATTCAATCATTTTCTGGAGGCGATGAATGAGGCGAGGGTGATAAATGAGAGGAAAGAGAGTAAAGAAACACATCAATTGATTAATTAGCGATTAACGTTAATGTATTTGCGGTTTTGGTTTAATTGACATAATATTTATTAATCCTAACCTCGATTAAAGCACGTCTTTCTAACATCCATCTATATATCTTGGCACATTTAGCATAAAGATCTTGAAGACGATCAATTTCTTGCGCGAGTAATTCGTATACTTCTTCAGCAGAATTCACTAAAATTTTCGAGAGGTTGAGCGAACGTAAGTGTGATTGATCAGTTATAAACAAATAAACAAACAAACAAACTAAAATGATTTTCCTAAAAAAAACTATATGTTTAACTTACATGAATGTAAATTTGAAAAGAATTCATCACGTTCATATTGAGGAACCAAACATTTATCCCATAATTCACCCAATTGTACTGTATACTACATTTCGTTATTACATCAATATAAATATATCATCAATAAAATATATCGTTAATAAAAGGAACAACAACAGAAACAACAACAATAACAATAAACCCTCATTAAATAAAACAAATAATTCATAATAAACCTCGTCGATAGCCTTTTGAATTCGTTGTCTCATAATTTCACGAAGGCTTTCATATTCTTTTGATAATTTATCGATATTCTCTTCGTCCAACGAATCACTAAATTCCAATCTTTTCTCTTTCGGAATATCCAATTCTTCATAGAAGTTATGTATAGTTTTCTTCAACATCATCAATTTCTGTTTACGTTCTGTGTAACTTTTTTCCAAGCCGAGGATTTTCTTTTTTAGAATTTCTAAATGATCCGATGTCAATTTTAGCCCGGACGGGAGCTGTGCAGTATAATAAATGTAATGGCATAATTCCAGATCCAGATTTATAACTTGGCCTTGTTCTAATTTATCGGCATCATTATTTATAATATCGCTATTATTACTATTTGTAAGACTATTACTACTAAGACTATTATTATCATTGCTACTATTATTGTTCTTATTTTTTAGCGTTTCTTGTAACGCTTCAAAAATGTCCTTTGGATTTGGTTTATCAACAAATAATTGTGATAAAGCCTTATCTATTTCATCTTTTGGTTTGTAGCAAAGAGTGTCCCAATAATAATGAAGTTGAATCGATGATTCTTCAAATTCGTTTCGAAGACCAAGCTAACAATTACAATAAGATATGATATGACGAATGGTAAATAATCTATTAATTGTTAATAAGATGCATTATTGTAAAAAATACTTTACCACAACACGGCTATATTCATCATACTTGCACCATATCTATAAATCAAAATAATATATATGTATATATATATATATTAATGAATTATGAATGAATATATGTTTAAAAACAGGATTTAAATAAAATATATATACAAACCGGACGAACTACAGCTGTACCCAAATTACTCTCAAACACCTAAAAAAATAAAAATATCATTAATCATTAGTCAATTATCACCTTCTTTATTCTTATTTATCACATTCTCTCGTCCACCTTCCTTTTAAAACATACCTCGTCAGACGGAACGACATAATCAGAATCTAACTCTTTAACAAATGTTCGAAGACTTGTCAACCATTTCTTAATATTCTCCCTTGTCAAATCAGCTTCCTCTTTTAACTCATTTCGTATACTTGATAATTTATCACGCGTTAAATTATTTATTTCAACATGCAATAAAGCAGCTTGTGATATTATCGTGTCTACATTACGACCAAACAATTGACTATATTCCTCTATTTCTATCTATTATCATAAATAAAGAAATTGCCATAGAGATTAATATCTACATATCGATAAATCTATAGTAATGATATATAATGAATGGATGAACGAGTAATGGTTTAAACAAGTACAAACCAATAAATCCTCTATTTCAGCAGATAAAGTTGATTTCCATAAAACTTGTTCTTGTATAAGTTTATCAAGTTCCGTTAATATCGTCTTTTTTTTTTTTAATAAAAAGAGAAAATAAATAAATTTATAAAAAAAAAACTTTCATCGTTGCATTATTGTTTATTTAAAATAAATGCAAAAACCTGTAATTTTCCTCTGGCCCATTCTGACTGATCACCATAATCGTTATTACCATTACCAGTTTCGTTTACAGCACGATACTCAACCCATAAAGATCTTAGTTGGTCTACTTTGAAATAAAGTGCATCCATTATAATAAAATTTTATATTAATTATATAAATAATAATAAAATTTTTTAAACTTTTTTTTTTTTTTGAAGTTTCTTCTTGTACAGAGAGAGAGAAAGAGAAAAAAACCAAAATTTTAATTAATTAACTAACTAGTAGTTAATAAAATTAATAAATTATGAGTTAATTTGAAATATTTGAAATATTTTTTTGCAAGGAAGTGAAAAGTGAAGAATAAATAAAAAAAAAATGGAAATTTGAAGGTTGATTATTATATAAAAAATAAATAAATGTTTTAAATCTAATACTTCTTTATGTTGCTTAGTTCTGTGTAACAATATAAGTATATATGAAAAAAAAATATATAATAATGATAGTGATAAAAATGGAAATAATGGAAAAAAAATTTATTATTATTTATTATCTCATGAAAAATAAAACAAAAAAAAAAAAACTGAAAGAATTTGATTGATTTGAATTATTATAATGGCAATGGTGATGATGTTTCAGGGGTCAAGTGTTGATAGTTTGATATCAAAAATTTTAATATTATTCATTCCCTTAATCAGACACGCATTTTTCACATACACTTCCACACTACACCACAAATAAAATGTGTTGCTTTGTGTTATTCTCTTAAATAATAAAAAACGGAAAAACGGAGATTTCAAATTTTTAATTCGGCGATTTAATTATATTTTAATAGTAAATAGTCTATTGATTATGCAGTATATTAATAGCTGGTAGTGTAAACAGTTAGCATATTTATAGCCCATTAGTTAATATAATTAGTAAATCATTGTTGGACAATTGATTGGTGTATTTATTTGTATGCATAAATAATTATAATAATAGCAGTAATATAAGACATGTGGTTTTAGTTGGTAAAAAACAAAATTCTGCGTGGTTGGACATGGCACTATTATCATCTGCCTTTTGCTTTTGGCATAATTGACGACTTTATTTAAATTCTTATTGGTTCTCTTTGTATTTTAATTGATTTTTAAATTTGGAAGTTATTTATTTTAAAAAAAATAATTAATTAAATATTTACAACATTTGATTTAATGATGATTATTCTTTCATTATCATCATCATTATCATCATCATCATCATCATCATCATCATCGCCATCTCCATCATCTCCATCAGCGAGTGAGCGATTTTTCCATGGATAGATTAAAAAACTAAATTAAATTATTCACATGAAGGAACAAAATGATATTAAAATTATTATAAATTAAAATGTTAAATTAAAATTTTTACTTTATTAATAATATTTATTATTATCATCCATCATCCCTCAAAAATCAAAATAAATACAAAAAAAATATATAAAATATAAATTATAAACAAAACCAACTCAAACCAACACAATCTATTCTATTCTATTATATTAAAATTAATAATTAATTAATCTAAAATTAAAAGTCCAATGTCAATGTCTTTTTTTTTTTATCAATTAATAATAATTAATTTAAAATCTTGGATAGATGTTATTATTGTTGTTAGTAATATTTCCATTATTGTCATCCTCATATAATGTATTTTGACTTTGCTGATAAAATTGCTGTTGTTCTATTGGTATTAGCGGATGACCTGTTATTGCTGCTCCATATTGTTGCTGTAATTGTGGCTGTTGTCGCATAGGTGGATATTCAGATGTTTCCATACCTACTTCCTCACCACCCGTCGCAATTCCGATATTGGCCGTATAATCATAATACTGTTGTTGCGGTCCAATATCTGTTGACAATGATTCGAATGACCTTATCGATGTTGAATCTCCTTCTTTTCCCATCAAATGTTGATTATTATAATTTTGATACTCTGTAGATGATAATAAGCCAGTCTTAAGACCTTGATCATTAACATCATACCCATCTTCATGTGTCAAGTGTATAGGTCCATTATTGTTCTGTCCCATTTGTTGTCTTTTCTTGAATCCTCTTGAATTTTTTCTCTCCCAATCTTCCCACTTTTTCATCACCACCTTGGATGAATCAAATTCGCCATCTTTCTTGCCATGATCTTCACCTTTGGCTTCGCCTTCAACTTTCCTAGTCTCGCCCCATGAAAAATCATCAAAATGCCAATATGCATACGTTGGTAATATTATATTCCATACCGGCAATGCCAATAAATATATAACCATCCATAGAATATATACTATTTTGCGTGTGGTTATTAATATCAATATTGCTGGTAAAACAACAACCAATATCAACATCATCAACGGTATTGCTTGTATAAGATCATGTGGCGGATCTAAAATTAACTTTACGATCAGCATATATGTCAAAACCAAGGCAACCGGCAACACCACCGTTCCAATCAATTCCATGAACACTACGAATTGCATAGAGAAACAAAATGTTCCACACAAGTTACGAACAAGCACAAGTTCCATTAAATTGTGAATTGTAGAATTGATCCATCGACGTCGTTGTGACAACAAAACGTTAAATTCATCAGGTACAACGGTCTTACAGACAGCCTGCGGACAAAACATCATTTTCCTATGTGGAAAATTTCTCAACATCAACGTCGTCAAAAATCGATCTTCGCCCAACAATAGCAAGTTTTTTTGATGAAGTGTTTTCACCACATTCTGTGAATATTCTTGAACTATTTCTGGTTTCGTAATGATTGGTACCCAGTCATCATTGTATTTACGATCATTAGACTTGCGTGCTTTTAGTCTGTAGGTACAAAAACATCCTGGCAAACAGGTAACACCACCAAACACCGACTCAAACCCTTTACCCAAATGATGTGAAATGTAATATTCAAACACTTGTATTGATGTGACCCACGAGTCTCGTTTATTTGCTATTCTTGTCTCTCCACATAATCCCATGATCAATGGATCATTGCACATACAATTTATCAATATTCTTAACGAATCTGGATATACCTTTGTGTCTGCATCAACCTACGATCAATATACAAGCGCGTGTATGTTAATATAAATGTGTTGATACGAATAATAATAATAATAATAATATATATATATATATATATTTACATACCATAAGACAAATTTCAAAAAAGTCAGGAGTGACACCCATAAGATGATGAATCTTTCTAAATAAATCATAGTCCAATTCACACATTCTATCGTTATAAAGAACACGACTAAAAAAACTCATCAAGATTAATTGCGAGTCACGTTTTCCTCTATTTCCAGGTTTTGGTTTTTTTCGTTCCTCTTCTGTACCGCACTTCACTACACATATTGCCGGCACTTTTCTACCATTCCATGGAAAATATCCTGCATACACTTTAGCCATATTATGTTGTTTTGATCCAGCAGCGACGGCAACGTAACTTTGAGGTTTTGGATCTTTAAATCCTGGTGCTGTAAAAAAAAAATTTTTTTTTTTGAATTGTAAAATGATTTTTTAACTTAAACGCACAACAGATGTACCAAAAAAAAAACTTTTATTATAATATCAGTTTTAAAATTAATTAATTACCAAGTTCCAAAAGGCCAACACAAATGTCCGGAGTACTTTTATCGTTTCCACTACCAGTAATTATTCCATCACAAACCAAAAATAATAATTTACGATCATCAGGATAATCGGTTGAGGCTAATGATTCACAAGTGCACCTGATACCAGCCTCACCCTCAGAATAACAAGTGACAAGCATAACGGTAAACAAATCATTTCCAATATCATTCATCGTCATTCCTTTTACTACAGTTTTTTGACCTGGTGTCCATTGCCTACCTTCCTTTTTGTTCTTGCCGCCACCACTAATAATAACGCCACTAGCGGATCGAATTACTGGAGACTTTGGTTTATGAGCAAGACGATGTGAAATAAACCAATCAAATATACAAGCCATTATAAATCTACATAATACAATTCCTAATATGACGACCAACGATACGTATAAAAACAAAGTTGATGAGAAACACCCGATAGTCTGCTTATCTATACTTCCGGCAAAGTATTTGTTAACTAAACAATTTACTGATGCCTTCAAATCCTCCCTACCGAAGAAAAGTCGTGTAGCATCTTTGCCACCTTGTTTATGACCAGTTGTTAATACCGTACGAATTATCACATCCAATTTATCATCCTCAATCGGAGTGGGATTATTTTTGATGTAAGGATCAAGATTAAGCACGTGACCATTGATCACCAAATAATTTTCCACGAGTTCTAATTGATTCCAATCGAAACCAACTTTCTTTGTAGTATTAAAAATATTATATTCATTAAATGTTTGCTGTGAGATTGGATTTAACGGGCAGCTTTTGTCTGAGACACATAGTGGTTGAGTGACGGCTTTGAAGTTTTGTATTTCAGGAGATTGACACGCATCGATTCGGTCGTTGACTCTTTTGAAAAAATTTGTTATATCCATACTGTTATTTTGTTGGCCAAGTGATCTAAGATCTACTTCTAATTTCTGATTCGCTTCCACAACATTAAATTGCCATCCAAATATACCAAGGTTACCTATTAATTAATTAGAGTTGATGGTTTTTGAAAATAATAATTAATTGATTTATGCAAAATAACCATTATCCTCTATAATAATTCCAATGAAATAATACACATATATATATACATATATATACCTGGGGCTTCACCAAAACGTAAAAATAAATCAGGATTACTTGCTTGTTCAGGTGGACACAAAACAGCGGAAAGCCCCACAGTCATAAAAGCAACTGAACCACTCATCAAAACCGCAATGAAACATAATGTAATTTTTTCACGCCAAGCTTGTTGTGATTGAGCATCGTATAGGCCACCAATAGACGATAATAATGCATTTGGTGCCCAAAAGGTCACCACTTTTGAGAATAATGACCATACATCGATTGTTGATTCTTTTTCTTTACCCGATAACATCGGTGTTGTGGCCTGGTGTCGTTCCGGTCTACTCATTGATTTTCCTCGACGGAGCCCATTGTTAGAGCCATATCCATCCATATTAAATATGTGCGTGTTTATAAAGTATGTATTTATGTATGTATGTATGTATTTATGTATGTATAGTTTTCATGTATAAATTATGTATATACGTTAAAATTAAAATTAAGATTTTATAGTTAAGGTTTTATATGTTATGCACGGAGGTATGTATTAAAGAGTTTTTGGAATGTTGATTATAGTTAGTTAATGGATTAGTGATAAAAATATTAATATTATAGTTAATTAATGGGATTAATGATAGAAATGTTAATATTATAGTTAGTTAATTAATGGGATTAATGATAGATTATATAGTTAGTTAATGGTTAATGCTGTTGATGATAATATTAAATCTTTTTTTTAAATTAAATTTTAAAAAAAAAATTATAGGAAAAAGAATGTGAGCGAGTAAAGAGAGAGAGAGGGTGTGTGTGTGTGTGTGTGGATTAAAGGATGTGTAGGAAGGGGAATATTTAAAAAAAATTTTAAGTAAAAAAAAAGGAATATATATGTATACACACAACACTTATATAATAATATTTATATTTAAAAAAATGTTTTTTTCACAATCATGAATGAATGTTTATAATTGAAACATAAACAAATATATTCTTTATCCGATTAGGTTTGTTTGGTATGACAAAGTTCTTTTATTAGTTTAGTATCACTGGTACATATTACTGTATTTCAAATTTAATTGAATTCGTTACCGTCACAACAATTTATACATGCAGGCCACGAGATTTTGTTTTAAGGACAGGAACACCTGAAACCTATCTTTATCATTCATCAAAATATTTATGGTCTGTTTTGTCATCTTTATAATTTAGCGAAATACCAAAAAGTATTTAAACACCTTGGGTTCTCTAGGGTAAAACTATATATACAACCAAGTTTCTTCTAAATAGCAACTACTCTTTATATTGTTGATTGGCAAAATTATCCTTATTTAATTAATCATATAGTTGTTTGAATTCAACTGTTGATTTCAGGACCGTGTTATAATTGTTCCACCAAAGTCAACCATCGCAAGGACACGCACGATCTGACAATATGTTAATAAAATTCTCATTTTCTAAATCATTTTCTAAATTATTTTCTTCAAAGTAGGAGAGATTGAATCCATATTTATGATTTATGGTCATTTATTTGATCCTTCTAACAGAAAAAAATATCCTTGTAATGAATGAGTTCAACTATACATCTAATTTAATAGAATAGAATAGTTCCATCAAAGCTGGTCAAGCTCGTGTTAAATGATAAAATCAAGCACCAGTAATTTATTGAGTAGTACAACTTTTCATGCAAAAAAACATGTCAAAGTATGGAAATGAAGTCGATGATAGATCTATGTTACACATTTACACGAAGTAAAATTTTCTGAATTTGGTTAGTATTCCCGCTTTTATTATTATTACTTACTTCTTATGGATCTAAAATGCGGAGTATATAGCCCGTATAAATATAATATCATCAGACGAGTTTCATCATCATCATCGTCATTGTTATCGATAGAGAAATTCAGACATTTTGCTTTGACTGACTGAAATATGAGGATGTGGAAAAACGTGAGATGTGCAAGTAACCGGTTGCTAGAATTGACAGCATCCCAAAACTCTTCCAGTTAAAATCATGTGATTTAACCACACTTTTAACATCATTGATAAAATACGCTTACTTTATACATGTTTTAAAAACGAAATTGTACTATTGTTTTTTGTTAAATCTTATCATCATAATAAATTTAAATTCCAAAGTAACATCTTTTTGAAGGATGTTCTTTTTTATATTTGGCTTTACTTTTTTGACGCCTTTGACAAAATGGTTCTTTACATTGCCGTTTTTGTTGTGATTGAAAGAAAGATGATGGTTTTTATTATCTATCATTCAAAGCCAAATTAAATATATATATATATACCGTTAGCACTGCTTGATGATTCTGATGTAATCAATGTGTATATTATTATATAATTATTATAATAATTACCTGATTGGTTGGATATTTTTATTTTTTTTCATAAAAGACAAATGTTATTAGGATCTGCACACTTGAAGGTTATATTTTTGATATTTTGTACCATTGTTTTGTAAATATGATGCTGTATTATTATTATTATTATTACCTTTACCTAGATTAATTGGAATGTTATTACTATTATTATAAACTACTATAATCAGAATCATTATTATTAGAAGTCAAACTTAATAACAGATTACTATTTATATCAGTTGCTTCTTCTTCAAAATTAATTTTGTTATTAAATAGTGTGCGCATAAATAGATGTATATAAGGGAAAAAAATCACATATAAAAAAAAGTTATTTGTTTGGAGAGAGGAAAGTTGAAATTAAATTGATACAAGGATCTATCTTAGATAGTATAAATAGTGGTGTAGTCAATGTAGAAAATAAAAACACGTTATATACCACAAAAATTGATCACAATAGATCATAGGAACATTAGAAAGGAAAATCGACCAATAGTCATTGTAAATTATAGCAACATGCTTCTTTTTATTAAGAGAGAATTTAATCAATGAGCTTTTTCGACTGTCATATTTCCCGTAAACTTTTTCTGCGTAAATACAAAAGTATATGCATACGAAATAATAATAATAATAATAATAATAGTAATCGGAAATTTCCGTTATTATTATGTTACTATTAATATACATGAAGATTTTTTTCATTTAATAAAAAAGAGACAGAATTCAAATTCTATCTCCTCCACAATTACCTATTGAAATTGGTATGACCTATATTTGCTTATTTTTTGTTTGACTATGTTTTAAATTAAAATATAAAATAATTAATATTAAATAAAAGTAAAAAAAAATATAAGCGCATGCATCAAGTGATATAGTAACATTTTTAATTTTTAATTCGTAACGAACATAGTAAACATGCATTCTAATAAATAAAATTTTCCTAAACTTAACATTTATTAATATTTCATAGATATTAAGTTAATGCTTTTTAAGAATATTTTTTGTATTTTAAAGCTGAGAGTATAAATATATTATTATGAATAAATCTAGAAATGACGTTTGAATGATTATTAACATCAGGCAGAAGAGGACTAATATTGAAATTTTATGTTGAAATGAGCAATGGTTCTTCTTTCGCTACTTCTAACACAGAAAGTGAAAGAAGTTGTTTTTTACAATTAATCAAAGAAAACAAAGAACTTTTTTAGCAAGTGAAAAAGAATTTTATAGAAAAAAGTATATTTATTAATGTAAATTATTAAGTGCAATTTATAAATCTGGACCAAAGAATGTAACAAGTGTAAAACAACGAGATACCTGATAGGTTTTGTGGAAAGTGTGTTATTATTGGTCTACATTTACAGAGTGTTTTTTCAATACTTGGATATCTGGAAATGAGATAATTGATGATTTTATTAAATAAATTCGTAAAATAAATTAAAGCTAATTCGAACTTGGCCATAAACATGAAATGATCGATGTTACCAAAAAGCTACTTCACAATATGAAATTTATAACTGTCAATCAAAGAAGTAATTCGGAAGTTAGCTATTTCATTGCATTTAATATTAGATAACAAACCATTTCGCAGCTGCCAGGGAGCAATTACCAGGCATTAAAACGTATCAATAGAAAGCTCAAATTCTATTTAATATATTATCAAGCAATTCAAAAAAATGTAGAGTTAGAAGAAAGGTGTTTCAAGCATTTGAAAAATACAGTAAAGCTACACTTATATATATATAATAACAAAAAGAAATGATACTTATTCTGGATAGTAAGTATTAAAACAACAGATTGGGTAAATATAAATATCAAGGTATAAAGTTTAACACAAGGTTTTATTCAATGCGTCCAATTGAAAATAACAAAAAAGTTAACAAGAAATGCACCTGTAGTTTGTCGTGAAGGATTGGCAGATGTTTCAGTCTCGGAAAGTAAAGAGGTTTTGTTTATTATCCACAATTAAATATGGTGCGGAATTCCTAATTTAATTAAATCAAATTCTATTTCATTAATTCTTCTCTATCATCTGCACAAGTGAAGAAATCCTTTTAACAACTAAATATAGGTCACTAACTATTAAATTTTTGATTGGGAGTTTTGATTAGCCAATACGTATATTAATCCACAGTTTCATCATCATTTATGACACCAGATCCTACTGCTATTAAACATCGTTATTGCTCTCTTCTAGAAATCTCTTGAATGCTATTGTTGTAAACAAAAAATATTTCCTGAAAAATATTCCAAAGAAATAATAATCATATAGATTTGATAAAATCATGGCAGCGACTTTACGTTATCTTGATGCAACTTTTAACTTTTTCATAAGAAAGAATCATCACAAAAAATTACTTTAGCAATGATGCTCGCTATCACCATTTTCAAAAGCTAACTCGAACGAACTATTAAATTGCTTAATAGAATAAATTAGTGATATCAGCCGTTAAAAAACCTTAGCTGGCTAATCTAATAAACTTTTAGCCGGCCAAGAACTTTTTACCTCGGATAAATATTATATATTTATACGAGTTACCAAAGAATCAATTGTTTTTATCGTTTATAAAATTTTTATCAAAAATTTAAATAAGAACGATTCAAAAAAGGGTTGAATTTTCTTTTTAAAAAAAAAATTTATATATATACAGTATAACCTCGTTACAACGGAATGGCCGGGCATATGAGAAAATTTCATTCATTCATTGAAACGCGATTAGTAATCTTGTTTCAATGAATTTTCATAATGTGAAATAAGATTCGTTGAAACAAGGTTTCACTGCACTGTACTGTTTTTACCAAGTCTATTTCTTTTTTCTTTTCCAGCTGATGAAAACGACCTCTCAGATGGCACTGAGCTTGCCGGCTGACATCACTAGAGTAAATATATTTTTTACTTTACAAAGTAACAACATTCGATTTAAAATTCATAGTAATAAAAAAAATTTTATATAGTCATATTTAAAAGTTTAAATAAACACATAATAGTATCTTGTTGTTGGTAAATTATTTTTGGAAAAAACCTCGTTGTTACAGTGTGTTACAAAAAAAATTGGCCAAATTTAGATGTGATCTGAAACAACAGGAGGGAACGTCCTATATAAGGAATGGATTTTCACAATTGATTTCAATTTTTTTTATACAGTTTAAAATACTT